TTTTACGAATGTTTGACTCAGACTGGCAGAATTTCAGACCAATTCACAATACAGATACATCAAGAACTGTTTTAACTGCTCTATAGTTTTAATTTCTGTTTGTGTTAAAACAAAAAGTCACCAAACAGTTTTGTAAAGAGCTTTAAGGGAAAAATTAAAGTTATGGCCATGAAGTTTTCAGTCTCACGGTATTCTGAGGTAGAGAGGTTTATTTATTGTTCCAAGTTGCATGAAATAGAAAAGTTAAGCCACAGAGCTCATCTAGTTATCTTACTCATCCTTAATTAAGAGTAATACCAAAATAAAGCCGGCCCCTTATGGTTAAGCATGCATACCAAAACACGCCCAGTAATTAGTTTAAGACAAACTGAACAGTTGTGTGTGTGTTTTTGTTTTTAAAAACAAAACAAAACAGTATAGCTACTTGTTACATTTATTGAAAAAACAGTTTGGGTTACCTGCATTTTTTTTTCTAATAAAAAGTAAATAAATGAGACTCAACTAGACTTCTTAGTGTGTTGCTATTTACAATTGTACTTACCATAGAGCTGATTTTTAGAGGGTCTTTTTTGGTACCATCAGACCGATAACTAAAATAGAACACAATAAGTTTGACTTGAAACTAAATTGATTCACAGAAAAAAAAAAAATCTTGCTATGTCAGCATTGTCTTAGTATTTATATTTTTACTCAAGGCTCAAGCCATACGGTCTATTTGATTCATGCTACTGCTTACATGCAAAGCCACTGCCACTTTTTTTTTAATGCAAGAGCTCTCCAAGTTCGTGCTTTTGGTTACACTGGATGCTATTAAAATGTAGCATGCCATTTACAGAAAGTAAAGAGGATTTTAATATTTTCCTTCCAGTTTTTTCTTTAGGGTGATGAGCTTTGCTGGCCACACAGACTACCTCAAAAAAGGCAGTACTGTTATTTTCAAACCTGCCTCCTTGCTTAAATTGAGTCAGTGTTTTCTGGCCTCTAGGGAAGCACAAAATAGCTCGAGAAAATAATCTAAAACTACTAATCGATCATTTAAAGAATTGTCCAGTGATTGAGAAGTCAAATACGAAAGAATGCAGAGATTCTTTTTCAAGGTACATAATTCTTGTAACTAGCTGATATTTACTCACGCAAAATCTCCTCCCAAAGTACAGATAAGCTGGGCACCAAAAACGCTCCATAAGGACAAGCCTCCACATTCCCAGGTAACCATAACAACACAGTTATCAGGAGACCACCTTATCAGTTTTACAGGTCCTGTTTTGTTCCAAATATCTGTTAGACAGGAAAACATACATGAAAAGCTTCAAAATAATGATTTAGCTGCTTTCACCATGTTGTGCACACAGTTTTGTATTAAATACAAGAATGCTTTGTTATTTTTCTGATTTGCTGAGTTAGAATCCTTTTCGGCTTCACAAATCTCAGCATGTCAAAAAGGAATGAAAAAGATCATATGAACACCACAATATGAATTCTTCCCCAAGATTTGATCGAAATCATGGGAATTCTCTATTGAAGTACATGAGGGGTGGGAATACACCTACTCAAAGGGAATATATTTATAATTCCCTATCTTGGAAAGCTAAGAGTTTACAGCTGCCCTAAGGCATCTTTAGCTTATACAATCAGCACTTAACTCATTAGATCATCCTTGGTCCCCACTGACCTTGGCAGCATTACAATGTTCATATCTTTACATGGATGACATGTTCTTGAAACATTTGTACTAGGACCGGTACAAATCATAAGGCATACATATTTACCTCTTCATCTATCCCTCCCCACAGGGCCGGCTCCAGCATTTCTGCCGCCCCAAGCAAAAAAAAAAAAAAACCCCCCCCCGGGGGCCGTCCCCCGGCAGGCCCCTCCCTCCCGCTGGGAGTGAGGGACCTGCCGCCCCTGAATTGCTGCAGGTGCCGCCCCTCTCCCTTGGCTGCCCCAAGCACCTGCTTGTTAAGCTGGTGCCTGGAGCCGGCCCTGCCTCCCCACCAGGTCTGTTCATATTTTTTATGCCTTCTGTGAGGAAAATTACAGTGTCTAATGTTCAAGTAACATATCGCAGAGCAGTCAACTGAAGTGCACTGGACTCCTGGAGCATTTTTTTGCTAGCATTTGGGAGATCCTGCAAGGTTTTCTATAGAACTACATAGAAATGATGTGAATTGTCTTAAGTCCACTATGCAAATTCTTACCACTTGATTTACTCACTACATATTTTGACAAACAATACTTCATGTCCCTCTTACAATATATCAGAGTAGCACTGGAAAAGAGGATTTTGTTCTGCATTTATATCAAAGGAGAAAGAGGAAAGGGAAGTCTGAATCCTGTATTCAAAGTCAACATCCAAATACACCGGTCAAGCAAGACTAGAGTTTGGTATTGTTCAGGTTGGGTATTATCTAGCCAGAGCACCTTGTGCTGTTGTACAGACGATTCATAGAGAGGAATTAAGGAAGACCTAAAAACAGAACACAACTTTTCTACTACGAGTCCAATGTTATTTCTCACTTGACCAGCAGAGGGACTTAAAACCTAATAAGAAAGTAATGTGTAAAATACCAAGATTTACATCTTTTAAAGGAAAACACTAAAGCATTCCTATCTAAATCTTACTAAAGTAAGCTATTAAATAAGAGATCCACACCTCATTTGCAAACTTTTGACTTATTTCACAAGACAACTATATCCAAATCAGTCAATTAAAAGCACCCAGGAGACAAACATAAGCACACACAAGTAAAAGCCTACTAATAAAACAAACTTGTTACCATAAATAACAAACATGTTGACTAGCATTGGATAGTATATGCAATATTCTTTAATTCCTGAAAAATGCAATAATGTGTAGACTCAAAACATGAAAACAAAATGAGTTTTTTTTCAAATCACTGTGACAAAAAATCAATGTTCTATTTTAAATTGTGTGTATTTGGAAATCATGGCATAAAGATAGTTAAAATTATTAACGAGCATTACGTTGTGTTTTCAGAATATTTACAAGAAACATCATGACACTCACACAATTTTACATGTTCCATAAAATCAGCATGATCTTCATAAAACACAACTGCAAACTCTGGTAAGAAAGTTAGCATATGAGAACTCACCAGGATATTGTTTTGGTGTCAGCTCCAACTTATGAGACAACTGCATGGCTCCTGTGGAGTTATCTATTGTATAAACTTGCACAGAGCCACTGGAAGAGATGACACACATTTTATGCTCAAACACTTTTAAAAACCTATGTAACTCTTACAACATGTAAAAACTGGTATTTAGATTGTATAAAAGGGGCCCTCAGTTCACAAAAGTGCCTGATTTATAATTCATAAACACCAATGTATTTAAAAGCAGATTAAAAAAAAGGCAGTTTCAAGTTTACACCGTATTTAACAGGTTAAATTCTTATCACAAAGCAAAAATAATTATACAATTAAACATGAGAGATTTTTAGATTGCTATTAAACTAGTAAAATATTCATGTTTGTTAATACTAAAAGTTCTTGATATTTAGGATTAAATTTTTTTCTTGCAGACTGGAGACTGACACACTCTGTCAGTTAACATTTAAAACATGAAATGTAGGACTCAAGACAGATTTATGAAACTACCACTGCACTGAATACTATTTGGATCAATGAAAACACTCTATAAATTGTAAATTTTTACATGGATTCCAAGTTCATAATAATCCCCATGGAAGACCTTTTGATTTGATGCACTATTTATTGTGATGCCAGAAGTCTGTTTCGTACTACCCCATGGCATATAAAGGGTGCTTTATTATTCAAAAATAAAATAAAATAAGAACAAATCCATAAAAAGGAGAACTAAAAGAATACAACAGTATTTAATTAAATATATGCCCAAAAGCAGACAATTGGAAGACTAAACCACAGATGGCCCAAATTCTTATAATTTGCTCTGAAAATAGCTACCCCATGGGTGAGACAAATTTATACCCAACAAGGAGAATTGAAATGGAGGAGGAGGAGGAGGGGCGAGACAGTAGTTTAGCAGATCAGAGTTTCTATATTTTCAACTTTTCAATGTAAAAAGGTGCCCAGCCACCTAGCAAATTTGCTAAGTATCTCTTCTCAGCTTACATTCTATACTATAGAACTGAGTATTCTGTCAATAGTGGCTGTAATGTGTGTTCTCTAGTCACATGTTAGCCCTATTGATTTTAAAAACGCACATCTTATTCCAAACTAATCCTGCTAGTTTGAGTTTGGGAAGCCTGCTCCTGAAGCCTATTTAAAAAGTTTTTAAATTGGAAATGAAGTGTGAGTAAAGTGACAGTTTCAAACAGAGTACAACTGCTAGTTCACTGGCAGTGACTCCTCTTCCCTCACACACTTTTTCTACAAATTGTTGCATTTATACTTTAAGTATAGAAGGAAGAAAATAGACAAATGTCTTTAAACGATAGGAAAACTACAGAAATGGCAAAACCCCTTTAGTTTTAAACAGCATTGTTTAATATTGGTTAAAAAAAAGCATAAAAACAGGAGTTCAGATGTGGTGAAAAAACAAGGTGCATATGGTTTCACCTTGGAGTGTTTGTAGAGAGCAAATCTACATGTACATCCTAGTGTCCATTAGCTGCACAGCTCAGAGTTTTACTCTGTGGTAGTTGCCACAAAGGAAATAATGTATTTATAGTTAGCCATGTAAAAATGTAAACTAAAATTAAAAAAAAAAAAAAAATACTAGAAGCAAGAACTACATTAGTGAAGTCACTTCCTTCGATCGAAGAAGTTGCCAGTTGAAATAAGTCTCTCTTCTGCTCTTCATAGTGGTGCACTTCTCAAATGATTCAATGTTTACTGGGAGAAAAAGTATAGCATACACACAAACTGTACTGAAACTATCCTATCATATGTAAAATTGAGCACTTCAGTGTCAGTCCAGGATGCTGAGCATCTAACAAGATCAGATAATAAATAGATCAGTAGAAGAATGGTACACTATTTATATCTTTTCATGGTGTTTTTTCTAGTTGGGGGGGGGGAATCAATAAAAATGAATCGTTGGCTGTTAAAAAAATGGTAGAAAGTCTTTATTGTCCCCTCTAAACCTTGTCTTCACATTATTACATGGATAATCCATTTCAAGTTTTAGCAGTACAGGCCACATGGCTAAAAATAAATCCGGTCGGAGAAATTCTCTAAATAGCTTTCATTTGTATATTTGTATTTCCATTGTTAGTAACAAAGTGCAGTCCCGTCATTGCTTATAATTTTTTTAATCCATAATTAATTTAAATTTTCTACAACTCTACTAAACTCTTCTAAAACTGTAGAAGCCAAAGGTTAAAAAAAAAAGCAAAACAGGCAATTCAGTCATTTAAATTAAAAAAAAAAAAATCTCATCCAAGAAATATAAGGCACTAATTTTATCTTTAAAAACTTTATTGGTAAAAATGTGTTTGCTCTTAAGATGCAGGGAGAAAGCAATAACCACAGTGCGCTCAAGAAATCCCAATGGCAGCTCTGATGAGACAAACTCAGGACAACGATTTTCTGAGAACAGAGTGGGAACAGAGAAAATGAGGAACCCTGTTGTCTCACCCAAAGTGACAAAGAATCCAATTTAAACATTTATATAGCAAATTACATTAAAGAAATACCATAACCAGTGGCATTTCCCATATTTAGTCTGTATCACTGAGGTATTTATATTTGAGAGTTTACTTTGTAATATGCCCCTGGTATCCTCCAGTAAGCTTACAGCTTAATTTTTATTATAGAAAAAAATAGCAAAAACAATTCACTTGTGGGGCATTGCTTCATTATATTGTAATTTAAGACATTTTGACATTTCTTTACAAGCCACAGCAAAATGGAACCTACAATGGAACACCTATTCATTAGTTTACAAGTTCCAACAATGCAACTTTGTACTCTTATAAGGTAGTACTAAATAGAGGAAACTGTGTCTATGTTTCATTAAAACCCCCCAAACCTTTCCCATCAGACCTTTAGAGTAGCAATATAGAACTTACTTAGCACATCCAAATGCCATTAATCTGTATTTGTTATTTACTGCCACACAAGTTCCATCAAAAACATCTTGTGCCCAAACACCACGGAGCTGCTGCAAGGGGGATTTAAAAAAAAAAAAAAAAAAAAGGAGGCTTCAAGAGATGTTATTTACGCAGCACATTAATTCATCTAAGTGGGCCCAATCTGCATCCCTCCATACATGGACCTCCCACTGAATTCACAGATGTGACCAATGACCATAGAAGACATGGGGCGCTCTGAGACCGGAGGACTGACTACTGCATTGGGCCAAGAGGAATTAAAACCTACATTTTTTAAAATTTTAAGATGTCTCCTCTTTTTCAAGATAGAAATTATGTCCAGATAAATGTCTTTTCAAATGTATGCTATATCTTGATAGCCTGAAGCAAAGCATATCTGTCTTTTTCTTTTAAATATGGCAAAAGAACAGTACATACTGAGTTGTCACTCTTGTTAGTTTCTGATTTTTACCACTTAAGAGAACACAATGTTTTGTAACATTTTTTAAAATGTTGCTCTTTAATGGAGGCATTGAGACACTTCAGAAAATAAGGATGTTGACACAGAGATCCCAAGTCAGATCTCTATTCTTTTACCACAGCTCTTAGTAAAATAGATCACACTTCTATACTGGAAAAGCCCAGGATATTTTTAAAGGCACTGATATGTTCTAAAAGTTTGTCTTTTAAATTACAGGAATGACAAATTATAAAACCATGTAACAAGCACAGTTTGCCTCAAAAACTGACATCTTTCTCCATTTTTGTAGGGTTGTTGTAAAATTTAGTTAGGTGCATGACATGTAAAAATGCCTGTGAAGTTATCTGGGTTATGGGCTTTAATTTAATGAGAGCTCTGGTTAAGCAAAGTAAAACAGGTTTGTAACATTTATTGTAAACCATGTGCTTTTATGGCACTACAGAAAAATAAGTAGAATGTACCAAGCAAGGCTCATGCAAGTAAAAAGCATTACCAAATCCAAGCTGAAACTGATGGATCTAGATAATACTAAAAATTTAAGCAATATAAAATCCAGGAAGCTGAAAAAGCCTTCTGTAGAGAATAAAAAAGTCAAGTAAGGAAATCTAACAAAACAAAGTTTAATATATATTATTAAATATAGACAAAAAGCCCCTAAATACCTGAATGTTAAGGAAAATAATGATTTCCCCCTGTATGGGTAGTTTGTAGGCGAAATTAAAAGTGAAGAAAACATCTCAGAAAAGACCATAATTCTCTAATAGAAACATTAGAAATCATACCTATAAATGTGATAGGCACCTCTCAAAGCACTTAAATCAATAGTTGGCAGAATATCACCTCTGAGGTATTGCACAGCTGGGGAAAACACCCATTCTATTATTCCCTGTTTATAGGTGGTAACAGGAAACCAGTGGCAGAAACAGAAATAAAACCCCAGAACTGGGAACATAAACAAAGTCACAGATCCTGAGCTGTTATAAATTGTAACAGTTTAATCGACTTAACGAGAAATATGACAATTTTCACCTGTTCTCTATCTGCCCCCAGATCTCTTAGCATCCTGTCCTGTGCTTTCCCACAAGGCCACAATTCCTGCCCTAAAAATTATTAATTCCAGTGATTTTTATGGACTATAGTAGTTTTATTTGTCCATATTAGTAGTCATATTTGTCCATATTAGTAGTCATGTTAGTGGAAGTGGCTCTACAGCTAATACACCTCTACAGCGATATAACGCTGTCCTCGGGAGCCAAAAAATCTTACCGCGTTATAGGTGAAACCGCGTTATATTGAACTTGCTTTGATCCACCGGAGTGCGCAGCCCCGCCCCCCTAGAGCACTGCTTTACCGCGTTATATCCGAATTCGTGTTATATCGGGTCTCGTTATATCGAGGTAGAGGTGTACTGAAGAATTCAGATGAATGTCAAGAACTCATTTAAAAATGAAAAATTAACGTCAAGAGACATGTGTCATAAGAGCAATAAGTAAACTGTACCTCAGCAGTGAATCTACTTGATATTGGGGTAATGAAACCAACTCTGCCATCATTAAAAACAGCAGCAAACCCATCAAGTGTGGCACAATATTCCATATCTCTAATGTGTATATCTTCAAAGCCCAAGAATGAACCTGCTGATGAAACAAGAGCAATTGTTAAGAACTGTCATCACAATCATTTTGCTAACCAGAGTTTACAATCTTTCAAGTATTCTCTCTGTCTGTAATAGGATCTCAGTACAATAGGCTAGATTATCTATATTTACAGAAGAAAAAAACCTCTCTCCTCTTCAGTTGTTAGAGCAGAAAAAGTTATCAGACTTAGATTTTTGGTGTAGAAGGTATTTTTTCCATTGTATCTAACCAATAAAGGGGGGATGGGGACAGAGGTGGGAAAGTACCTCGAGAAGACTGCAGGTCCACAGAAAATGGTACTGTAGATAGGTTGATGGCCTTCCTTCCATTTGTCATGCCATCCCAGTGAATAAGGTGGAGCAATCCATCAGCAGTAGCAACCAGTAGATCCTCCAGCATGGACTGCAAACTGAGGAAAAGCAATTGTTACTCTGCAGAGATGGGTTGTCTAAACCAAACACTCAGAGGACTATTCATGTAACAAAATGCTACTTTATAACACTGTAGATAAACAGATGTCTGGAAGCAATTACTCAAGTTACACTGTGGAAGATGTAGTATGCAGTTAAAAGGTTTATCAAGATACTGAACTAACAAAATATGAGAGGTGTTTCCACTTCTCCAAGAATTCAGAGTTCATGAACATTGAATGGATAAAAATTAGCAGTGTTACTGATATCTGAACCTCCGATAAAGACTATTTTCTTTTTGTGAAAGTGAAAAATGTGTAAAATTATTGGAAGTAACAATTACTTAACCATCATACCAGATTACTGATATTCATAGATTATAAAACCAGGGACCACTGTGATCATCTAGTCTGAGCTCCTGTATAACAAAGGCCGTAGGACTTCCCTGAATTAATTCCTGTTTGAAGAGGAGTTTATCTTATCAAAGCTTTATGTGACAGCTGCTAATCTGAGACCTATACCTATTGCCAGAGTGAAAAATACCTGTTGTTGCTAAACCCCTCCCAAAAGCCAGGCTCCCTACAATTTAAAATAGCTAAAACCTGTATGCTGTATTATGCACTGTACTGAATTTTCACTTAAAAAAAAAGTTAGTAATTTATTTTGTTACACTTTCTTTGCCTGTCTGGCTTCAGTTCAGTTTCTTTCCTATAGCAAAACGTGGTCTCTTTCTACCCCTCCCCCCCCCAAGTTATTTTCAGTGTTTTCCTCCTTTCTTCCTCTCCTTTTCTCACTCCCTATCACTCTTCCTCCCAACATCATGTTTCCTATCTCCTACCTATATTCTCTCCCCATCTCCCTCAATCCTGTATTTCCTCTACAACCCGCTCACTTCCACCCATCCACCAATGCACACCTCTTAATTTTCATGACTCTTCCACAAAGGACTTAGGAAATTTACCAGACACCTAAATAGCAAGAGGCTATTAGGCAAAAGGTCAAACATTTGGAGGGATGCTCTTACCCATAGCCAACACCCATTCAATGAGAAATCTTCTGCTGGGAAAAGGGACAATACTAGGATTCTGACCTAGGGTGCTGTCCCTGGACTATTTAGGCAAATGTAGGTGTCTGATAAAGCTGAGTGCCCTTCCTCCCCACATCCAGAGCCTTCTGGCTTTCTACAAAGGTGGGCAGAGGGGTATGTAGAGTGAAGGTTACTAGATTCTTTTCAAATTCACTACTGCTCACAGGACACTGAATGGTAGCAGCTAAAACTAACAAAACTCTGACCAGTTTACACTCTGCTTCAGCATTGCAAAGCTCTCAGGCAGATGTAACAGAACTGTTTGCAGGCAGACATAGGAAAACATGTCATCACTCTATACTCTGATTATGTATGTTTCACTATCAACAACTTAGAAACTTAATTTTTCTCAAATGAAGTCCTAGAATCTGCAGAAGTTGAGGGTGCCCGGAAAGATTCTCTCTCATTGTGGAATTAACATATCATTCCACCTCATAAAAACAAAGAATCACTCAAAAGATGTTTATTTTCTCCCAAACAAAATATTTTATATGCACTCTGAACCCAGGGCCAAATTCTACATAGAAGCACACAAGCCAAAATACACAATTTATACTGGAGACACTGAAATAATCTTTTGCTAAATTTATTCTGATTTCTCAGGTTATTTTTGAGTTTTCATAATCATATGTATCAAAATTACTTTAATGTCGCATATTCAAGTGTGTAATACATATACAAAGTTCAAAATTATTAATTTTTACACCTACTGTAAATATTTTTCAAAATTCCCCACAGAATATTAAGGAGCGGTGAGGGTGAGTACCATTCAAGTTACAACATGAAAAAAAATCTGAGGTCCATTGCTTGCTATAACTAAAGAACACACATCTGAAGCAGTGCTACCCATTTAATTCCACAATGCACTATTCATAACTTAGTAAAAATTAAAACATTGATTTGTGTTCCTTAAATATTTGCAGAATGAGTCAAAAATAGAGGTTTCCTTTCTACAAGACTATGCATATAGCATACATTATGTATATAATTCGTGTTAGGATATAGATATTCAAGCCTGTCTGTAAAGGCCTATACTTTAAGAATTTAGGTATATGTTTATCATTTAGCTAGTTATAGAGGTATAAAAGAAAGAATCTGTGTAAGGGCCTTCTCTCACTGTGACAGTCTGAGGCCCTGTTCTTAGGCCAATGCCTTTGGCTAAGAGGCAGGCATAAACTGGGAAGCGTGCGGTCACATCCTCACATTTCAAACTAGCCATATTGAAATAAGAATCTGGGGCTGTTAGGAAGGTGATCCGATCTATCACCCCCAGAGAAAGGGAAGAGCCTAGAAGATGTAAAAGGAAATTTAGTTTGATAGTTTTCTGTCTGGTAAGAACTCACTTATCAACAGACACAGCTGGGAAACCCTTATGTCTGTATATATGTAGTTGTGAAATCCTCACTTCTGTGTTGTTTTGTCATTATAGTTCCCACTTTGCTATGTTTATTTGCATGGTCTCAGTCTGGTTCTGTGATTGTTTCTGTGTGCTGTATAATTAATTTTGCTGGGTGTAAACTAATTAAAGTGGTGGGATATAACTGGTTAGCTAATCATGTTACCATTTGTTAGGATTGCTTAGGTAAATTTTAGTAGAATGATTGGTTAAGGTATAGCTAAGAATATTACTATCTAAATTAGGGGCAAACCGGAAGTAAGTTGGGATTCGAAAATAAGGAAAAAGGAACTTGGATTTAAGCTTGCTGGAAGTTCACCCCAATAAACATCAAATTGTTTGCACCTTTGGACTTCAGGTATTGTTGCTTTCTGTTCATGCGAGAAGGACCAGGGAAGTGGGAGACTGAAGGAATAAGCTCTCTAACAATTCAGTACACACAAGCACCCCTGAAAAGAGGAGGCTAAATGGAAGTTAAAACTCCGCTGCGACTTGTGTTTATATTTCCTCTCTCCCCCTTCTTTCACTATCATTTTTGTGCCTTCTTCCATGCCACCCCTACACTTGGAACTTCCTTTTGCACATCTGTGAATCATGTACCCATCCTCTTTTCTTTCAAGTCCCATCTGAAAAAAAATCACTTCCATAAAACCCACAGACACTACCCCACAGTGCTACAGCTTTAAAAAGGTCACTCCTATTATAAACAATCCAGACTGAGTTTCTTTCTGAGTAACCCAGTGCACTTAAATTTATGATGTTGGTTTAGACTGATTCTTTCAGGGCAGGAAATAGGTCTTTCGTCTTGTATTAATGCTGAGCACAGTGTGGACACTTCAATATAGTACCTTTCAGAGTTGGGGGGGGGGGGGGGGGGAAATGTGCTCACCAATGGAAGAAGGAAGCTTTCCCTGGACTTCACAGGTCAAGTTCTCCACTCAGCCTTTGTCTCTGCCCTAGCAGGTTTAGTAGGTATGAGGACTGGTACCACCGTTTTGTATACCATACTACTCTGTATTTTGCATGAGCCAGACAGAATATAGAAAAGCTATTTGAAAAATAGCTAAGAGTTTCTAAAGGGTGTACAAATGTGCAGCAGCAGTGCAAATAATTTTTTACACTTGTACAGGATGTCTACATTAGATGTTTGTACTGATGCTGCTACACCAAGGCAAAAAATCCACACCATAGACAAGGCCTGTAGACAAGCACCGAGGCGAAGTATTCGTGCAAATAAGCTTCCACTTTCCATCTACCAATTAGCAACTTAGATTTTACTTTCTTTGGTCTATTTTCTCGTTCCACTCCCCCCAACTTTTTTTTTTTT